AAAAAAAAAAAAAAGGTAAAATTTCCACAGAGTGAGTATAGTGGTATGGGAGAATCTGATTGCTAACCATGGTTTTGACCTGGAGGCCTATAAAAGGAGAGCACCCCAAAGTGTATTCCACTCTACTAAACTGGATGGAGTTCTTCTGAAAAAGTTCTTTTAAATGTATGCATATTCTCTTCCTTTTAATTCTGTTTTTGTATTACTGCCTGTACTTTGCTTTGGGTATCATGTCAATCTTGGAACTACATTGTCTCTTTAAAATTACTCATACTACTTGGGGGTAGTCTATATATTAACCTTTATATTTCTCTACATTTTTTCAAGTAGCCTGTGATTCTCTGGTTGATACTGTCTTCAATACTGTATGGACCTTGGGCTGCCGACCCTTTATGAATAGTCAACGGGCAGCCTGCATCTGTGCAGAAGAGGACAAAGAAGAGTTATAAGGGAGAAGTGATTTCGTTTTTGGTTTTGAGTGACACCACAGCTGTCAGTCTTGGAGACGGTCGTGTGACAGATGTGTCTCATCCTTTCTTCCAAAAGCTTGAGTACCACAAAGGAGGAGAAAGGAAATATTCTACAGCTGAAAAGTGAGTCCCATCCTTTGAGGAGAATTGGAAAAAAGACATGAAGTGATTTGAAGGCTACTTTTCACTTTACCACTGGTCTCCCCAACCAAGACACATTTGCCTAGAAATTCAGTTCTTAGTTTAAAGACTAAAATGAAAACCAAAATACTTGGATTCCTGGACCTGATAATTATATTCATAAGTAAAATTGTGCAGAGTCCAACCATTTGGGAAGCAATGACTTTCCTTGGGTCCATGTGTCAGTTGCCAGCAAGCATCTCACATTTAATAAAGTGTACTTTCTAGAAAATTTGAAATGAGCTGAATGTATTCCATTATCACCAGTATGCTTCCATTTCACTGAGAAGAGAACAGAATCCAACCTGGTAAGTTCCACCAATGATAACAGTTATTTCCACTGGTGCTCAAGAGATAAGAACAGGTGGTCAGAGGCTTACCTGATTAAAGCCAGTGGAGGTGGTGATCAAATGGAGTTCAGTCTCCGAGTTTCCATTTTTTCCTTCAGTGAACTATTCCTGTTGCTATTCCCAATTACTAGGTGGTCTTTGCGTCATAAGATCTAAGAAGCACTTGGTAAAAACTGCCACTGAAGATAGCTAGGAAAAGTCTGAAATCTGAGGGGAGTGAGAGACAAATGGCTATTCCCTCAATAGTGGTTATCTACTCTTGATGGCTGGTCAGAATCACCTGAGGAGCATTAAAAAGCAAAAAATCTCTGGGGGTGGTATCTACACGGAGGCATACCTTGTTTTATTGTGCTTGGCAGTATGCTTCACAGATGTTGTGTGTTTTACAAATTGAAGGCAAGACCTTCCACCAACACAAAGATTATGACTCACTTTATTGCGATAATAACTTTATTGTGGTGGTCTGGAACCAAACCGGAAATATCTCTGAGGTATGCCTGTATTGTATAAATGCTCCCCAAATGATTCTGATGTCCCCTAAGGTCAGGGATTGGCAAATAAAGGCCCCCGGGCCAATCAGGTCCAAAACCAATTTCTGTAAATTTTATTTGGAACACAGGCATATGCACATGTGTTTATGGCCACTCCTGTCTAATAGCAGAGTTCAATACTTGTGACAAAGACTGTATGGCCCAGAAAGCCTAAAATATTTACCATCTGGCCGTTTACAGAAAAAGCTGGCCAGCTCCAATCCAGATCATTTTCTCCTTTCCCTTCCTTTTGTTAATTCTATTGATTCCATTAAGAATTGTTGATTGTAGCCTTTTCTAAAAAGAAAAAAAAAGAAAAACTGTTTTTTGATCCTATATAAAGTCATGATTTAACTGGCATATTAAAAAATTGGAATTAACTGCATATAAAATTTTATCTCTGTGGTTTATGATATTTATTTCAATAAAATGTATTAAACACCTACAAAATAGTATGGTATAGTTTTATACCTTTTTCTATTGTCTTATCATCTGAGGGCATAGAATGCCAAAAAACAGGGAATATGATACCAAACTTTAAGTTTGTCTGCCATTCAGTCATTGAACCACTTAAATCCATGTTAATGAATTTATTAATATTTATTAACTGAAACTATTTTACTTAAGACAATATAAAAATATCAAAAGAAAATATTGTGTAAGAGAAAAACCAAATACTATTTTTTAGTACACACTTACACTGATAAATTTCCAAATCTCCTATAACTATTCTGTATTTGAATTGAAATTTCAGGGTATAATTATTATTTACATATTTAAGGGATCATTGGGTATTTAAGTCATAGTTTCAAGCAACAATTTAATTTTTTTAAGTTCTTAATTTGAAATATTATACCCAGTATTGATTTCGGCGGTCCTACTGCATTGTAGGAAAGAACTGGGGGGATGGGGTGAGCTGCTTTCTGCGTGGTCAGCATAGCTTTCAACCTTAGGAGGCTGAAGCCCCCACTGGGTCAGGTCGGTCAGCAGTGAGCTGACCTCTCCTGACTCAGTGGGCCGAAATCAGAGAGAGTAGGTTCTGGGAATTTGTCTAAACCCACAGCATGAGGTTTAAAGAAGGGCAGTGTTCTAGGGTGTTGACTGATGTTCTCAGAAGGAGCGGGGAGAAGGTCCAAACATGCGGGCAGCCGGAAGCCAGGACTAGGGTGTGGGATCGGCCACGTCCTCCCAGTCAATGCTGATTGGGCCGCTCGTCAGCATCTGGCTCTGCAGACCAGCTGTGTCCTCTCCTTCTCCTGCCTCTCGACGCATTCGCCGGTGGCAGCCCTGTGCACAGCGGGAACGCTCCTCTAGAATTCCACAGACCAGGACCTGGCAGTGCAGAAACACTTCCTAGAAAGACCATAATCATAATTAACAAAAACATGGAAAACAGCTGTCATGTGTGGGGCACTTTCTCGAAGCCAGATACCATACCAAATGTTTCATTTGTACCGGGGGTGCCAAAAAAATGCATACACATGACTTGTATTCATCTTTTATTATCAGTATATATTATTACCATTTTAATACAGTTTGTTCCTTTTTAATATGTGTATACTTTTTGTTTTGGCGCCCTCTGTATTATCTCATTTCATCTAAACAACAACCCTTTGAGGTAAGATGTCATCACCCTTGTTTTCCAGATGAGGAAACTGAGAGAGAGGTTAGGGAACTTGCCCAAATTCACACATTGAGTAACATGGCAAACACACTGAGTCCCGTGGGTAACTTAAAACCCCACAGCCATAACTTCTGCGTTTGTGCAGGGCCTGGAGAGACCTTTGTGAAGACAACATCTAATAATGTTAACATCTTCATCCCTCACATCAAGGTCTGGGAATAACATCAGCTCCCATGCACTTCTGTGTAAAATAACAAGTTCTTTCTCCAAGCTTCTCGCTATAAGTCACTTCCCAAAGCGTGCTGCCTAGTGGAGGAGAGAGACCAGGCTTAGCCATCATGGTTAGCAGTTGTTCTGGAATAGTGATATAGCGGGAAATGACATCAATACACTTAAACACAGTGTGGAAAGATTGCTGGGCTCTTAAACTTCCTTTTGTTGAAATGTTTCAAAGACTCTACTGAAACAAAAAATAAAATACTTCTAGCTTAACATACTCTAGCCTCTTATAACCTCTATTCACGTATGTATTTTTTAAAAATGTAGCATATTCAGTATACACGCAAGTTATTACAATGGTTTATTCATATCTCCTTTTTCTATACGTCCATATTTCTATATCATTTTAATAACTTCTTAATATTGCACTCGATATACTGCAGCCCTATTTGTTTGGGGGCTTTCTTTTTCACTCCCCTTATAACAAAGCTCTGTAAACACATCCAACAATCTTATTTTTCTGTTTTTGCTTATTTTTGGGAAACTTTCATTGGAAGTTTTAGATAAAAGAAGATGATGATTTTATGGTGATTATTACATATCATCAGGCATCTTTCCAGAAAGTGTGCCAGTTTATACTGTTACAGTATACTTCTTAAAACTTTGCGAGCATTGTGATTTATAATTTTTATAAATGTAATGTGTGTAAAATAGTCTTATAATCGTTTTAATTGGCATTTTAAGTACTATTTTCGCAGAACATTTTACTATTTTGTCTGTGAATTTTCTGTGCATAGTCTTTGCCATGGGATTACCACATAGGCTTTTTCAACTATAATACCTGCCCACAAGGATTTAAAATTGTGATCATATAGTATTTCCTTTGAACAAGGACAGTTATTTTATTGGCAGGGCGACAGATAATTATGACATTCATGAAGGTGTTAAGCTTCTAGATGGCCAGTTTTACAGTATTTTTCATAGCCGTAATGCAGGTCCTAACCATGGGCTCGTAGAATGTCAACAATTAGGACATTGAGAAGAAAGGCTCAGGCCAGGGGCTACAATGGTGTTCAGCTTACCTTATGGTCTTTGCCCACAAACTTGAAGACAGGGACCTGGAAGTGCTTTGCTAGGTGATCCCGTGATGTGTACTGCTTTACTGAGTCATCTGAAACACAGCTGGAAGTAGGACAGGAGAGCACGTAAGACTTGATTGTTTAAACAGAGGTGGAAAAACAATCCAGTCCACCGTGTTTGGTCCAATGAAAGGCAAACTGGGTGGAGGGGGCTGGGCTGCACTCAAGCTTTTTGAGAACGAAGGAAAAATGAAATTCCCTTCCTGTGAAGGCATCTTCAGACACAGCCCTGCTCATTAACACTGTCTGTCCCATCGGTCATTCCCTGTGCCCACAAACGGGGCACAAGGACTTCCTGTTAAGTCCATGTATTGAAGTATTAGCAACAGCAATAACATTGATTTCAAAAATACCTTTTGAAATAAAGGTATCTGTGTAAGGCTGTATTTTCATTTGTAATATATTGCAGGAATTCTGTATTTGCGTACTTTATTATTGGTTTGGGAAGGCTTTTTTTAACTAGGTTTCATAAATATTTATGAATACCTAAAGACTTACCCCTGAAGGGGATTCACGGTTGAACAAACCCCAATCTGTGCATCAAAGAGCTGCATAAAGAACCAAGTTTCTTAGAGAATAAATAACTGGTTCTATTGGGGAAAAGTCATTTATTTCCAAATTGTTTTAAGTCCCAAATTTAATGCTAAACTGTAGTTTGATTGGGTTTTGATCTTAGGTCTACTGCTCAAAGTGAACTCCTAGGCTCACCTCACGTTTAGCTAGGGGAAAAGAAGTTTAATGAATAGTCAGTTGAGGCCAAGGTTTAGTGCTGATGTAACTTGTCTCCTTAAAGGTTAAAGCCAAGGGTCACACTTCTATTTTCTTTTCCATTCCGAACTCCACACAAACTTCTTTATTCTAAGTGTATTTTCCTTTGTATGGATACCTAATAGTTCCTGTCTACCTAGCCAGGAAAAAAGTGAGGATCAGCTATAAAAGCCTGAGAAACTGGGCTCCATTTGCTTACAGACCACTTTCTAGTTCATTGCTAATTGCCGTTTCAGTGCAGTTAAAAAAAATCCAATAAAATTGTTTAAAAATAAGGCATCTTGACTTGTATTACTACTAGTATTCCTCTGAACTAAAGATCTAAACATATGATGTGCTTTCTGTTATTTCTTGGGTTTATGTATTAATTTCCCTGAGGTAAAATTCATTTCTATATCTTCTGATTATATTCTTTTTTTTTTTCTTTTTTTTTAGCTGAGCCATCCCGCCACCTGTTGGCAGCTCACGACTGCTCAGCTTGGGCTGACTCGAACCGCTGTTGCTCAGAGCTCAAACTCTTGAGCGAGCTCTTAACCAACTGAGCCACTCAGCCGGCCCCTGATTATATTCTTAAATAAATCCTATTGTACATCTAATCTGTGCAACACACTCTGCTGCTGCTGCAGAGGATATAAAGATGAATAATGTGGTCTGTGAAATCAAGGAACTTATAGTCCAATATTTATAATAATAATAATAACATGCTATTAAAATGGCACGTTCATCTAAGTGTCAGCATTTTCAATTTATTTTTATCTAAAAATACTAGGGAGTTGGGGAATTGGGAATAAAAAAATAAAAATAATCGAGATGTGCTTATAGTGTATAATACACACTGGATTTCAAAGACTTAGCAGAAAAAAGAATGTAAAACATCTCACTAATAATTTTTTTATTGATTAGCCATTGAAATAACAATATTTTGGAGAAATTTGGTTGAATAAAATGTTATTAAATTTTTTAAAATAAATTAAAAATACTATTATTTTTCTTTAAAATGAGGCAGAAAGAGTTGTCCTGAGTAACACATTACAGAATAGAACTCAGGACAAATTCTGGCTCTTGATTTGGTGTTTGCTGTGATTAGGCGATGCTAGCTCTAGCTCTGTCAACTTCAAATTCATGAGCTAAAAGAAAGGACTGATGGTATATGATAATCCAAAGGAACTGATTATCCAAAAGTTGTCCAATATTTGATTTAGGAATTCAATACATTTCCTTTTCTGGAGATTAACTTTCTAATTCTACTTTGCTTAGGCTAATATTAAATTATTTTGCATTCTCAGAGCATACGCCAACTAAATCTAGAGGGAGGTGAACCAGATGTGTTAAATATCAGGGGAAACCAGCCTGATTTAAATTTAAGCTGAGGACAATGAGTCATCAAACAATTTATAAATGTAAGTAAACTGCATTATGCTTATTTTAGGGCTGTAGACTATTATGTAAATGTGTATTCCATAATTCATTGGGAACTATTCTGTGACCCTTTCTATAGGTTAGGCATTAAGGAGGAAGGAGATGGCAGGAAGGTTTTTAGTTCAGGTTGGAAGAAATCAGGGAAAGCTTCAAGGAGGAAATAAACCTGCTGAATCTTGAAGGACCAGTAAGAATCAGACAGGAAGGAAAGGTGACTTCAGGCAAAGGAAACTACAGGCATAGAGTCAGGAGGGGTGTAAGAAACAATGGAGTTTGGGAATTACCTGTAGTTCCCTTTGGTATGAATAGAAACTGGAGAAGATAGAGGTCAGAGGGTGAGGCACAGCGTGCCAAACTGAGAATTGGATTTTATCTTGAGGGATTATTTCATATGCACCATTATTGTACTAACCATTATTATACTGGAGATGGGACTATTGGCCTGTTTACTAAATAGGCCTACCCAGCTGTGTTTTTGAGTTCTTGCCTCCGCTTTTTAAGCATTTAAATTTCTTCCACAGCTTTCCCCCCTCCCCACCTCTGCTTTGCATGTGCTAAGGGCTGGAAAATTAAATAGCACAGCTTCTTAAAACTGTCCAAAATAAAAGATGTAGTCTTTAACTGAGGGTCTAAATAATGAATATATAAATAAACTTCCTAAGCTTTTATTGAAATTGCAGGTTACATGTTTTCTCAGTAACTGAGTTCTGATTATACATTCAGTTTTGCAAAAGGAAATATGAGGGCAAGATAAAGCTCTTAGTGTGAGAGAAATGTTCACTATTTTGATTATGTTTATCGTATGCCAATAGTACTTCAATAAAGCTGTAAAAAAAAACTAGAAAGGAACCCAAATCCACTCTCCTTCAAAAAGTAAATCCATTCCCTAATCTACTTAGTGTTAAGTATGTGACTGAAAAAAATGAAATAAAAAATGACGATTCTACTTTTCATTTTAAAACTTTCTGGAGATCACTTTAAGATGTCAAGAAATCCAAAGATCTATGGGTCCCCGTGAGGCTTATTATTGGCCTTCCAAAGCAGCTCAGAGTGACACATTTTTCATATTCTGAAAATACGCTAAGGAGACGACAAGAATCTAAGGCTAGAAGTACTCCTGCTGGTAAAGTTAAATTTACCAACCAAAGGCAATCAAGAACCATTAAAAGTTTTCAGCAGGGATGTGAATATGTATTTTTTTCCTTTTGACTGGATACCCAGGGACTCTGTGGAGCTGAGAATTGTGAGTTGAGATTTAGGAGGCTGTGTGAGGAAGCTGTGTTAGCTGTTCAGGTGAAAGATGATACGGTCTGGAATTAAGTCAGTAAAAGTGGACTACAGAGAATGAGTTGGGTGTATTATCTATCTATCTATCTATCTATCTATCTATCTATCTATCTATCTATCTATATATATATATATATATATATAAAGCTTCTCAGTTGATCCTAATGTGCTTCAGGGTTTGAAAATCACTGTGCAAGAGATTGGTAGCAGCAGGCAAAGGTTGCCTGTGGCGGGGAGGTCTGGAGAAATAAAGCAAAGCAGAAATTTCAAAGGGTCTATCAGGCCAATTAGTGAAGGCTATGAACTAGGAGGCACATTTGTGGGGCTCTTACTAGACCACTTCCCATTTATTAGGCGTCAGATCCTGACTCTACATGAGATATGTCCCACCTGACACTGAGAACGACACTGAGAACAAAGAAGACACTGATGAGATGTTACTATGAGTCTGGAGTTTTGAGTGTGAATATCCTTGGAGAAGAAGCAATGGGTGTGACAACTGCTGGGCTTTCAAAGATACCTTGTGACACGTGGTTCTCAATCTAAGGAGCCTTCGGAAATATGGAAATCTCCTTTGTATAAAACAAACAAACAAAAACAAACCTGCTTGATCTTTCTCCTAAAATCTACCAAGTAGTCTCTCTCCTTCACACCAAACTTCTGAAAAGAGGAGCCTACATTTGCTGCTTCCACTTCCTCATCTCCTGGCACTGCTCAGCCCCAACCTGGCCCTCATGCCGTACCCTCTCTGAATAGGTTAAGCAACCCTATAGTTTTGACCATCAACAGGGGTGATTCTCTGTCTTTTATCTTTAGTCCTGACTTTGTTCTTGGGTCTCACCAATACGCATTTCTAGCTGCCCACTGAACTCTTCCTATGCATCCTATAGGCAATTTCACTTCAATATCATTACTTGGAATTATCATCTTCAATATTTTCACTTCACATCTGCTTTTCTACCTATATTCATTCATCTTGGTGAATGGCATCTCATCAGTCATCCGAGCTAGTCCCCTTAGAGTCATTTTTTACTCCCTCTCCATCACCAGTTTTTACTCCCACAATGTAATAAATGGTTTCTGAACGAATTAAGAGTTCATGAGGGTGCCATGTCGTTTTAGGAAATGGCTGCGTATGCTTCCGCACTTAGAGGTCAGATGTAAACTGGGAATAACAAACCATGTAAGCAGCATAATTACCCATCCTGGATAAGGTAGTACTTCAAGATCTCATCGATCTTGGAAGTGGGGGTGGCAAAACAGCTCTCCACGAGGCTTTCTAAGCCATTCACGTGCACCAAGGGCTCAATGCCAAAGTACAGGGAATCTCGAAGCTTGAGGGTGGGCAAAGCTTCCCGGTAAGGCTCTTCAAACTCATCGTCCTTGAAGATCTCCAGGGTGAACGGGAAGATTCCATGACTGCGGCTCATGATTTCCAGTGGGCTGTTTCGAAGGTTGGGAACGTATCCTTCGGAAATGGTGTACAGGCGCGGAAACTCACAGGTCACAGGGATCAGCAGTTTGCTGGTTCGGATGATGATGTCCCCACTGCTCCCTGGGGTCTGCTTGGGTAGACCTGTCACAAGGTTGCTTGCCACGATCTTGTCATTCACCACCTGAGCCAGGCCAGGGTGAGGAGAGAAAAGAGATTTTACATTTATTTCCACAAAGTTGTTTTTTTCCCCCTCTCCTCTTAATCATAACAATCTCCAAACCTTAAAACACATTAGAGATTTGGTTGCTGAAGCCTTGTATTTTTTTTTTTTTTACATACTACTTCATGGTCAACCCACACATTGTTCTGGAATATTATTCAGAAAACCTGAGCTATGCAGAATCAGCAAATTCAAAGCTCTGATGGTTTAGAAAAGCACAGCTTCTGTGTATTATTTTTTTTCTGTAATCCTAGACTGGTGATCCTGCTGCAGCATGACCTTGTGCTGAACTCACCCTCGCACAGAACTCAGCTGTCACATTTATGCACATAATTGTCAATTCTTTATCTCCAGCCTCGTCCACGCTCCTCGTTCAGAAACTGCGACTCATCATGAGGCATTTCCATTTGATTATCCACAGACATAATAAACAAAACTTGCCAAGTGGGGCCACCTACTTGTCAAATATCCCCCCCCACCCCCGCATGTATCATCCCAAGTCTAATTAGCTCTCTGAGCTTCTCTTGGTCAGATTCAATAAATCAATATTGGTTTAACCAAATGATCACTAGGGGCTCTGCACTGATCCATCTCGCATACTTCTGATTTCATCAGGACGGTGCCTGCTTAACCCCATGTCTATGGTGGAAGAAAGCCCAAACGCCTGACCCTAGCACACAAGACAAATCTCCCCCCATCTATTTTTCCAGTTTCCTTTTCCAATATGAACTCCTTGCCAGTCAGGCTGCATTGCCCATTTACCTCAGCATAAGCCTTAAGAATTCCCATCGCTGGGATTTGCTCACCTGTTTCCCATCTGAAATGCCCTTTCTTTTTCTCTCTGCCTGTATAAACTACGCACACGCCTCCACCCCAATTTGAGTCCTACAATCTTGACCAATCCAATGTTTGTCTCTTTCTGGCTTCCTGTAACACCTGTCATCTGGATCACTGTCGCTTATCTATATTTGTGTGTATTGTCATCTCAATGCTACTGTGTATGTTCCTAAAAATCAGGCATCTTATTTCATATAATCCTGACTCCCCAGCACAGGGCTGTGCACAGATGCTTAGATGAATGTATAAACCTTTTACCTCCACCTGGTTCAATACTTGAACTCATTTGCTACCTCATAAATGGACGACCATCTGTATCAGTTGCTTTCTTCAAGTGAAATAATTGATACTAATGCTGATGCACTCAGGAAAATGTCTACAAGTATTGGAGCGATGGGGCTATTTGAGAATAGAAACAGCAGAATTCTTCTTAACATCCCATCCTCATGGAGCCAGGACACAGCACATAGTCAATAATACATTTGTTAAATTAATGGCAAAGGATTTTTTAAATTCCATTCTTTCCTGGAAATATTTCATCTAGGACAGAAGCCATACTGTATACCTCTGTCAACTACCTCCCAAATAACTGGCTTTGGGTTATTTCCCAGTGTCCTCCAGGAGAAACCTACATCTACCACTGTGCCACAGGTCTTGAGGGAGAAGAGGAGGTTGATGTGGGTGCCATTGGATACTCCTCGGCAGGAGGTGTTGGTCAGGAAGAGCTCTAGACCGCCAATCAGGTCCCTGGGGATGCTCACTTCAATGGCGTCCGACTTGCACAGCACGGGGACTGCGGCACAAAGGGGCCATTGTTAGAGCCAGGAAGCCTGGAATGGGGAAGAGGGTAAAGAAGTCTTCTAGGAGAACGAATTTCAGCCTCCACACAACTTGAGTTTTTTGTTCTACCCTCGAGGAAATCGATGGGGCTGGTGAATAAAACCAGGACTCTTAACTCCCCAGGCTGTGGTCAAATAATGCTCCTGAGATATATTGTTCCCTGAATGAGGAAATACTGTGTTCAAGTTTCAGTTCAACAGACGTTTATTTCAAAGTGTGGCTAGCATAACTCCATGAACTGAAACACCCAAAAGATTAACTTTTAACACAAACACAATTTATTGGTAATACAGAAACAGTATTGCTTTGATATAGGCTTAAATTATATAACAGTGCCACTTTGACTTTACTGTTAATAACTGCCCCATAAAACAGAGGTAATACAAACAGTGTTAGTGCACTTGGGGAAGAGTTCCAGGTTATCCTTGCGTTGTGCAGCAAGCCATAAAACCTGACTATAAATTCCATTTTAACTTAATATAAAAAAGATTGCTTTTCCTTAGCGTTCCCATGTTCACTTCTTCAGACTCTACAAATACCCTAAAAGGAATACTTATGGGTACTGTCAGTAAATATGTGAGGACAATAATATTTGAGGATATATCATAACAAAGGGTATAGTAAAAAGAAATCAGGGGTAGTTGCTCATTAAATATTTGGTGGGTGAATAAATTAATATTCTGGATATAAAAAACTAGATTTCCAGGAAATAGTTCTCAGAGATTGTTGATGCTCATATTGTAAATATAGGGAAGAAGAATCAGTTTCCAAGGGCTTTCAACTTAGTTTCACAACCCATTTATCCGTTAGAAAAGAGAAGAACTGCATCAATGTCTTAGACTTCTCAATTGAGTATTAGTTATACAACTAATAATAGAAATTTGAGAACAAAATCAAAGGTAAAAAGTAAAGGAAACCATATGATTCGCAATCCCATTTCTGGGTATTTATCCAAAACAATTAAAAGCAGGATCTCAAAAAGATATTTGCATACTCATAGCAGCACTATTCACAATAGTCAACAGGTAGAAGAAGCCCAACTGGCCATCTAAAGACGACTGGATAAACAAAATGTGGTGTATACATACAATGGAATATTATTCAGCCTTATAAAGAAAGGAAATCCTGTCACATGCTATAACATGGATGAACCATGTGGACATTAAGCTACGTGAATAAGTCAATCACAAAAAGACAAATACTGTATGATTCCACATGTATGAGGTATCTAAAGTAGTCAAATTTATAGAAATAGAAAGTAGAACAGTGGTTGTTAGAGGCTGGGGAGGGGAAAATGCTGAGTTGTTTAATGGGTATAGAGCAGCGGTTCTCAACCTTCCTAATGCCGCGACCCCTTAATACAGTTCCTTATGTTGTGGTGACCCCCAACCATAAAATTATTTTCGTTGCTACTCTATAACTGTAATTTTGCTACTGTTATGAATCGTAATGTAAATATCTTTTTGCTTTCCGATGGTCTTAGGCGACCCCTGTGAAAGGGTCGTTCGACGCCCAAAGGGGTCGCGACCCACAGGTTGAGAACCGCTGGTATAGAGTTTTAGATGTGCACGATGAAAAAATTCTGGTGGTGTTGCACAACAATTTGAATAAACTTAACACTGATGAACTATACACTTAAAATTGATTTAGATGTTATATTATATGTTATAGATATTTTTTCACCACATTTTTTTAAAAAGCAAAGGAGAATTAGCTTTTTGGTAATCTTTTCTTACAGAACTTCTCTTTTGAGTATTAATTCCAGAGTGAAAATTTAGAGATACACACTGCTGGAAGAGCTGGTGTTCTGAAAGATGAGAATCTTGACATATCTGGATGAGGCAGGCAGGGAGATTGGGGTAGGGGTGGAGAATGAGAGGGAGAAGTATGAATTAGAGCTGAGGTCAAGCCCGGGCATGTACTACCTTGGCAAGTGTGGTTATCCTCAGACAGCACCAAGCCCCGAGGACATTCACATTGATAGCCCTTCTCAGACACGAGGCAAGAATGGCTGCAGCCGCCATTGTTATTGTGGCATCCTTCAATGTCTGCAATAAAAACCAAAAGAAAAGGGAATAATCTTGGGGCCCTCTTCCCCAAATATTCTGGTTCTTGGGATGACACTTTGCATCAGAGATTATACTTCACTCATCACAGTATCACTGGGGCCTAACCCACTCACTAAAACATGTAGGGAAGCCCACCAAAACCATTTATTAAATGTGATAGTTACAAAGCACAATCTTAAAACATCTACAGCTCAACTCACTTAAACTGGTCATTTTCTAGAATGCCCTTCAACCTGGATTTGTCTGTTTTTCTCATAGTTAGACTATGTTTTGGGGGGAAAAGACCCAAAAGTCATTTCTAATTGCTGTAATAGTTAATTTACCCAATTCAAAATTTTATAGAGTATTATTGACGTAAAAAGGACTGACCAAATATAAATTCAACTGGACCAGCTAGATGAATCAGAGTTATTTCCAGTTGTTGGATAGCCAGCCCCTCTTCTCAATCTCTAGGGATAACAGCACTGGGGATACGTATCTTGGGCTGACAGGACACTATAAAAATGAAGCCTGGACAACACACTAAGAGAGTCCACTCAGTCAAGCTCTTTGTGACATTCCCCTTAGAAGGCAGTTTTGTTGTTGTTGTTGTTTTTTTAATTGGGGAATTGGGGGAGGGGAACAGCGTTGGGGAATCGGGGAAGGGGAACAGACAAGTTGCTGTCCTTTTTGTTCTTCAGTCTAGTTGTGGAGGACGTCGCTTCACTGGCCCATGTTGGTATTGTGATCATTGTATTCCTTTTTAAAAGTTTGCATTTTCAAAAAGCATACTCAATCAAATGGACAAAAAGGAATAATTTCAATTGAAAACTGAAGAAACTACCATGTGATTTCATAGTTAGCAGAGGAAAAATAATGACCTTTGTAGGCTCTGGACATTATCTTCTAGTCAGGGCTCATCAAACTCTGGCCTGCTACATGTTGTTGTAAATAAAGTTTTATTGGCACATAGCCACACCCATTCATTTACCTAGTGTTTATGGATGCTTTCTCACTACAAGTGCAGAGTTGAATAGCTTCAACACATTCCATATGGTCCACAAAGCCTAAAATATTTACTATTTGGCTTATACAGAAAAAGTTTGCTGACTTCTGTTCTAGGGGTAAGATAATAAAAGGAAATGCTTTCAAATTATTTGAGATGCTCAAAAAGAATACAGCACTCCTATGGGTTTTTGAAATAGACAAAAATGATATGTAACAGTATAGAAGAATGCATAAAAATATGCTATTAAGATATTACAGTCAACATTAATAGGAATTTTTTTTTCTTAAAAATGATCTTCCTTAAGTCTAATTTCTCTGGGTTTCAATTTCAATATCTGTAAAATGAAGGGTTGGACTACATGTTCACTCAGGGGCCAGGCCTAAAATTGCAAAGCACAAAATAAATTGAAATTCTAAGTTGGCTTAAAGCAGCGGTTCTCAACCTTTCACAGGGGTCGCCTAAGACCATCGGAAAACACATATTTCCGATGGTCTTAGGAACTGAGACACTGCTCCTCTATCCATCTTCAGGCCCACATGCAGCTACGCCTACATGTGAGTACCCGGCGACCCCTGTGAAAGGGTCGTTCAACCCCCAAAGGGGTCGCGACCCACAGGTTGAGAACCTCTGACTTAAAGGATTTAAGTCTCTTATGAGGATACACCAAAATGCTTAGAATGGATACAGCTGGCAAGTGTGATTGAGGGTCATTTTAATTATCTTTCTTTTATTCCTCTGTATTTTCTTCTATGAACATAACACTTTCAAAACAAAATGATAAATATTTCTTAAAAATTAAAAAGAGCTTTTTATTTTAAAAAAGAAGATGTAATTATCTAACAGACTAGCTAAAGAAGCAAATATGTTTGGACTATCATTAAAACTTAAGAATTACAAATACGAATCTTAATCATAAAGTGTAACTCATGGGCTGGCCGAGTGGCTGGTTGGTTAAGAGCTTGCCCAAGAGTGTGAGCTTTGAGCAACAGGGTCGCCAGTTCGATTCCCTCATGGGCCAGTGACGCTGTGCCCTGAGCTGAGCTGCCGCTGAGCTGCCAACAGGTGGCAGGATGGCTCAGCTGGTGAGAGCACATGCTCCTAGCAATATGGCTGCCGGTTCGAATGGTGGGCTATGCCCACCCGCAACTAAAGACTGAACTCTACACCTTGAGCTGAGCTGCCATCCGGGTGGCTCAGTGGGTAGAGCGTGCGCTCTTAACGAGGCTGCTGGTTTGACTCCTGCATGGGATGGTGGATATGCCCACCCGCAACTAACTGAACATGGCACCTTGAGCTGAACACCGCGACTGGACTTGGAGCTGAGCTTGCTGCGCCCTCCAAACAAAGATTGAAGGACAACAACTTGGCTGTTCCCCTTCCCCAATTCCCCAAAACTGTTCCCCTCCCCAAATTCCCCAACACTGTTCCCTTCCCCCAATTCCCCAATAAAATCTTAAAAAAAGTATAACTCATATACAAATTTTATTTTCTGCTAAAATATTTTTAATTATGATTATTAGGTTTTAAAATTATATGAGGATTAATTGTAATATTTCTAATAAAATTTTCATGAATTATTACAAATGTTCCTCATGGAACATTTCATTAATATTAAAAAATGCCAAGATTATTGCATAAAGTAATTAAGATTTAAGGTGGATTCAGGACATTACTCTTAGTCAATAAAATTTAAAGTACATTTTGTCTTGTGCTAAGGAACAGTAGTTAATATTTTGGTTAATGGTCTCTCAGCTAATAATGAAAACTTTGTTGCATGGAATAAACTGTAGGCACTAGCCATAATTTTTCCTTTTGTAAGCAGTATTATAACTCTATTATGCCACATATTCAATTATCCTGTGGGACAAATTACATATCCTCTATAAATAGTAATAATTAAGCTATTTATTTCTTCATATAATTTGCAAAGAGTTGGTTTTTTGCAATGTCATGAGATTTAGGCTTCTTAAAGTAGAAGCGATGAAATTTTAGTTGTGGTAATTTGCAAGGGCAAATGTGCCTGAGAGAAAGGACATCATCTAAGTTTCATATAATAATAGAAGACAATTTCCATTTCAATTATTTGACATACATTACAAATTCTTTTTATTACTTACTTGTATAAAATATATACAGTAGTTCTGCTATTAAAAATACTTTTACTGATCTCCAAAAAATATATTAATCTCCAATAAATGCAAAGCATATGAAGAAAAAAATGGCTTCATGTAAACCAGTTTCCCAAACTTTTAAGAAGGTAAGACATTTATGGATCTTGATAAAAACACAAACTCTAAGGCCCATCCAGCCCCACTGAACCAGAGTCTCCAGGAAAGTGGCTTGGGAAGGGCCAGCTTTGAAAGCACCCAGGTGATTCTCCTCTGCAGGGAGGTTTGAGAAACATTGCTGTAAACCATTGGTTATACTGCCTGCCTCTATTACCTTGCTGTTCCAGGTGTGCTCCTTGGAGCCTCAGCAAAGGTGTCACTTAAAAGCTATCTAGAAATGCAATATCTTGGCCTGATCCCAGATCTACTGAATCAGAACCTGCATTCTAACAAGATCCCAGGTGATTGATTCGTGGGCACGTTAAAGTTTGAGGAACACAGACTACTGATATTTATTTTCCAAATTCAAATATGGCTCTTGGCCTCTTGTAAAATGCAACATCTCCCTCCTGTGAAATCTTGGAGACAAATCCAACACTGAATTCTCTTGCAAGCATTTTCCATGATGATGAACCTCTTCTGTCATTTCTTTACACAGCCAATCTCTTACTCTCTTCTAATGTTGGGCAGTTTCATGAACATCAGAGAATAAGCCAATGGCTTATTCTGGGCTCTTGATATGAATCCTTTCTTACCCATTCTCACCTTCACAAGTCTTGCCATCACTTCTCAGCGTGCGGCCAACTCCACACTCACAGCGATATGAATTTTTGAGGTTTACACAGATCTCGCTGCAGCCACCGTTGTTTTGCTCACATTCATTTTCATCTGGAGAAGAGAAACCACACCGTTTACATACTGCTGAGCAACTCAATCTTTTCAACCCCCTTAGCAGAATCTCCACATCTTTTCAGATCCTGTTGATACACTTTTCCACAGCCCCAAATCCCTCACTGAGATCCAATATAATCACTTCTATTAACCTGAGCTCCTCAACCAAGGTATTTGTCCATCTGTCCTTTGCTGGAGTGGAAGGCACCTACTTGTTGCCAATTGCCCCCAAGGGTGAAACAGCAGGGAAAAGAAGTTCCTTTTGCTACCTGGGTTCACCTATTTATTCACATTGGTGAATCACTTCGTCCAATGAGTTCCTGAAGATTTGCAAAATAAATACAAACTTACAAATCAAAGTGTGTTTTAAATGCATTAAAGGAACTTACCATTTCAGAATAAAATATCTGACAAGTTTTGAGGCAGTCTTCTGTCACAATATGAACAACTGCTCTCAAAACTTCTTTTAAAAATTGAAATATTCCTACATTGTACTAAGCCATGATTGTTAAGTCATTTTAAGAATCTGATGAAAGACAGGGATTCTTGTAATAAGAAATGCACAACTGGCAACAAATGTCCACCCCCTTCCTTCTACAAACAAAGGAGAGGAAGTTTGGGAGCTAAATTTGTAATGGCTTGGATATAGGACCTAAGCCAGGGACTGGGGTTTAAACACCCACGAGGTGACAGGAAGCACCGCCTTGGGCCAAGGAGAGGAGGTGAGCTGGAACAGAAAATATCCAGGACCCTGGCAAAGATATCCCCACAATGAAATGGGGAGTAGAACCTTTCTCTGAGGCCCTGGGAAGCAGTAAGGGAGCTTTCTGCCTGAGGCTGTAGGAGAGTAAAAGCCCCAGAAGACCCAAGCCTGGCCCTGCCATGGTTGAAGTATGAACTTATACTTTACACATGGTGTGGGGATATTGAAGCTGAGAAATTGATGTAAAATTTGGCCCTGGCTGGTGAAGCTTCTGTGATACCTGACAGAAGCATCTGAAAAACTGCTCTGCAGTAAAATTTCCATAAACCAGGTGATAAGAGTAGAGTTCCAAAGAAAAACAATTTCAACAGGAGGTGGTTTGCCATAAACATGAGGAAATGATTCATTATAAGAGAGAGTTGGCAAGATAACAAACAGGAGGCTTTGAACAGGAGATGAACACAATAATGCAGAAAAATCCGTAACACAAGGCTCTTAAAAAAAATCACCAAACAGATAAAAGAAAGGATAGTAATCAAAACAAAAAAAAGTGTGTAAAAGGACAAGGCAGAATTGACAACGAACAAATATGTAGAACTTAACGATATAGTCAATAAGATTAGAATTTTCATGGGGCCCCTACTGCCTGAAAAGTGGATGGTTAGCGGAACTGGCCGCCATCCTAAGTGTGGCCACACCAGCGCTGGGTCCAAGCCTCTGTTCCAAGCCTGAGTGCTTACCTTGGGGCTGATTTTTTTTT